GCTGCCTCCTGCACGTCCCCTACTGAGGATCGAGCCCACAACCCAGGCATGTGCCCTCACCTGGAATCGAACCTGCAGCCTTTCTGTGCACAGGCTGATGCCCAACCAAGCCACACCAGCGAGGGCTCTTTTTAATTTTTTAAAACATGGTTACTAGCAAATTCAAAATTTTACATTTGTCTCGCATTATATTTGTATTGGACTGCACTGTTCTGTAAGAGTATAGTAGAATGATATAATTTGAGACTTATGGCTCATGTATACTACTGACTAGAGGTAGTAATTGAGCAGCTTGCCTATAGCTGCATTGACCTACTTTTAGGAGGCTCCAGGGTTGGGAAATCCTCTAATGCTGTCGTGTTCATCAAATGCTTAGGGAGGGATGAGTTCCAGTTACTTAATGCTCTAGTAAAAAAATCGCAGTAGTCCAGCATTTGGTGGATTCTTCTTTTGATGCTGAGTCAGTTCAGGACTTTTTAGAGCTCCTGGTATGTACCACATATTTTTCTAGGTCCTTTGGATGCAGAGACAGATCTCATCTCTGAGCACGAGGGACTTAGTCACAGCATGATATGCAAACAAGACGGGAATGAGCGTGATTCATGGTTCAGTAATAGAAGACTGCACAGTGGCGAGAGTAGTCCAGAGGAGGAGGAGGGGGGCAGGAAGCGTAGTCAGGAAGACCCTGGAGGAGGTAAGGCTGCTTGTACTCTTAGAACCAATTCCTGAGAAAGTGTGGGCTTTGGGTGTAGAAACAGCCCATTTGCTGACGAGGCATAACTGTACCCTTCCCTTCTCTGGACTTTAAGCACAGTTCAGCTAGGATGTGAGATGTGTTTAAATTGGTCCCCTGCAGGCCCATCAGCTTATTGATTATATTGATTGTCTTTTTGTGAAGTTATAACCTTCCGTGTTTTACTTGAAGAAAACATGTAAATGCTCTTCAGTTTTGTTTCCTTCAGCCTTTTCTGTATATACAGACATACACATGTGAAGAACTGAAAGGGGGAAAAATAGAAAAACTTGCCATTTTTTTAGTGGAAACGCAAGTCAGTTTGGAGAGCTACCCAGTGTTGTGTAATGTTTCCAGTGGCCGAAGCAGATGAGCTCAGGTTACATTGCGTCTCTGTGTGTTGGGGGTGGGGGACAGCAAGTGACACAGCACACGACACTTACATAACCATGACTTCAGGGAACAGGATCAAGCTGTGAATGAACATCTCAAGCTCAAGAATATGATATTAGAACACAGCCTTTGAATTTTTCTCCCGTTTGGCTTGAAAATCAGCCTCAAAAACCTTTCTCTCAGACTAGACTTCCGTGACTCTCGGATCTTCTTTCCCTTTGGTTGTTAAGTTCATGGGCACATAGCGTTTTAGGATTAGAAGGGAGCTCAGAAGTCTCTGAGTGCAGTTGTCTACAGGTAAGTCACTTAGCCTTCCTGCTGCCGGATGTCTTTGGGTTCCCTCTGTTGTAGCCTGCAGCCCTTTCCTGGAGGCCCAGCGAGAAACTCTTTCCTGGCAGATTAAATTCATGGCCAATTCTTAGACTCTCCTTTGCCTCCCAACACAATTTCCAGATGTAGTAAATAAAGGAGTGTGTTCGTTTTGCTGATGGGACGAAACGGACTCTGAAGGGACTTAGGCTGAGTGTGGAGCTGTGATTTGCCTTGGATGATACAATGGAGTGTGCCAGGAGATGCTGAGCTTGTTAGAAGCTGATCTTATCAGAGTTGTCTTCCTTCTGCACTGATGGCAGAGGACTCTGCTTACCAGCTGCCGTCACTTCCCTTTTACGTTTGAATCCTTGCCCTTTCACTTGAGTTTGGATCTGAAATCCAAAACAGTGGAACCACAAGAGGGTGGAGTTAGAAATGGATCTTATCTAATCAGTATCTTCAGGATATGAAGGTGTGGGGAGGGGTCGTATACTTGTTTGAGGTCATTCAGCTGGGAAGTCCTGGTGTTCATTACGTAGTCTAATTTTCTTTTTATACATTTGTATTTTTAAGCCACAAATTTTTTATAGGTAAAGTAATAAAACAAAAACTAAACAAAACCTTAAGAAATCAGAGAAGAATTGTGTTCCTTTTTATTTGACCATGATTTATACTATGCTTGTTTTAGGGAACTGCTTGTTTTGAGGAACCTCTTATTTCTGTAAATTGCTTAAGTGTTTTTTAGGTTATGAAGGGTTGAGAAGGCAGCATGGTTTGGATTTTACTAAAACATCCTCTACAATAAAAATTTTGTGTTAGATGTCAAATATATAGTTATCAACTCATCACCAATCTTCTTATGTTAGTTTTAGTTGGCTGTAGTACTTTTACTTATTTGTATAATTATGCTTTTTTGTGGTATGAAGCACTTCTGTCTCAGGTGCTTATCCTAAAAGTTTTTTTGAGCAGCTTAGCCAGGATGATTGCAAAGCTCTAAGCAAAGTTTCCGATCTCTTTGCCCCACTGTATTAGGTAAGATAAGCTAGCTGCTGTAACAAGCCCCACTAAGTTTAGTGACTTACAGATGAAAGTTTATTTTCAGTTATGGAAAAGCCCGGGGTAGGTTTTTCCTGATGAGGGAGTGGGGAGGAGGGGCTCAGGGGTTAAGGCTTCTTCCATGTGGGGACCCCGCCGTCCCAATCCGTGCCTTTGACGTTGCCCAGCTTGTCTTCATCAGGCCTTCGCGAGGGCCTAGAGCGTGGGGGGTCGCACGTGGGAAGATTTTATGGGCTAGGCCTAGAAGTGGTGCACAGGTCACACGCTTCGCTGCAAAGGGAGCTGGGGAATATGGCCTGTTACTCCCGGAAGGAAAATGCTTGGCGACCCTGGACCCCGCCACTGCGCGCGCATCCGCGTCTCGTCCTGCGTGCGCCCGGCCCGTTCCCTCGCCGAAAGCGGGCGTGGGGCGGTTGGTTGGGCGTCACCCGCGCACCTTGAGGGCACGTGCCTGGGCTGCGGGCTCGGTCCCCGGGAGAGGGCGTGCATCGTGTTTCGTTTTCACAGCGATGTTTCTCTCCCCTCCTGTCTCTCTAAAAACTAACTAAAAAAATAAATAAAAATCTTTTAAAAAAAAGAAAGAAAGCAGCCCAGTCTGCTTCCTAACTCCCTGGTTGAAGCCATTTTATTGTGGCTCAGAAATCATTAATATTTTTTTTACTGCTAATGAAATTATACCTGTTCATTAAGTAAAATTTGAGAAACCCGAGAAAATGCAAAGATGAAAACTAACAGTAATCCCAGCACCTGCGGGTAATTATTATTAATCCTGTGTTATATTTCTTTCCAATTAAAAATTTTTTAATCATGTAGAACTATTAATAAAATTTCACTAATTCGTATTTTGTGCTGGCTTGCAAATGCCAAAACTCAGGAGGGTGGTAAACAATAACAATCTGGGGATTTTGTCTTTTCTCAGCAAAGATAGACTATTGCAGAACTGTGGTGAGGTTTTGCACTTTTGGCATTTTTGAAAGGAGCTTCTTGTTTACACATCATAATCCTCACTTCACAAACAGTAAATACTGAGGCTGGTGAAGTTAGCGATGTATTAAAATGGCAAGGCAGGGATAACGTTTAAACTTTCTGATCACTTCCTACTCAGTTTTCAGAATTCTTAAATATAGCTTCATTTTCAAGGAGAGAAAACTAAGGAAAGGTGCTTCAAATTGAACCCAAATAAAAACTTGAAAACGTGAAAGATATAAAAATACGTTTCTGGGGGTGAGCTGAGTTCTTAGGTGGGTGTGCTTTTCTCTGCTTACCTGCGTTGCTTTCTGGTCAGCATTGGGGAAGATGCTGCTGATCTGAGATGGGAGGATAATTTATTGGGAGAGAAGGTACGTTTCCTGAGTCATCAGCTCCAGATACAGGGATACAGGACCTTTTGGTTTTTCCTTAAAGTGCTGAGGTTGTATCCTAGAGGCAGACCAGCATCAGAATTCCTGCTTGTGAGGTCATTGTCATGACCTCACAGCCAGGATTGCTCAAAATGTTTGCCCAGCTTCTGGCAGGATATGAGCCAAGGCCTGGGCCGATTCTCCAGACACCATGAGGTACCGCTGTGTCCCATATTGCCAGATTTGTGTTGACTTTTCTGTGACTTCCTGTGGATAAAAAGTGGACATTGATGTTAGGCCCTCCATAGTTCACTGAAAAAGATTTGTATAACGAAAATCACTGTTTTAAAACATCCTCTGGCAGAACATTTAATAACAGAAAACTCAATAGAAGAGCAGAGATATTTTACTGTGTGAATGAGTATGTGGTTAACCATTTGCTATGACAGCGGCATTGCAATTGCCAATAACCATTGGCTCTATTTACTATGAAATTTCTAAGGTTTACTTCCCTAAAAGAAATGATTATGCCCTCTTAAATTTGTTATATAGATCAGATCTCAGAGTTAAATCACAAACCAGGATGTTTTATCTAGTTCAACATTTTTGCTTATTTCAGGCCTGGCTTTTTTTGTCTCTTAAAATAAACCTGTAGGTTACGCAGAAATAAATAACACTGTTCATCTAGTGTTGATGTTTAGCAACAAAGCTTCCTATTTTTAGGTGGAACCATAAATGTCTTCATGACAAGAGTGTCAGAGGAGATCGGGCAGCTGAGCCATATACATCCTGGAGCCTTTTCCCCGCATCCGTAGTTGGTGCTTGGAAGTAGATTGCTCTTCCTGCTTCTCACTGTTGAGAAGGTGCAAGCAAAACAGTAGCTATTTTTCAACTGTTCAGAAGTGAGTTGAGTTCTAGAGATAAATATTTTATAAGTGGTTCTTGGCTTGAAAAAATATTAGAACTATGGCATCAGTCAGTGGTGTAAATAGAGGATTCTGGGATCGTGTGTATAGTGTATGTTGCAATCTTGTTTGGAAAGTGAGATTATAGAGTAATGTGACTGACTTACGTTTTGTGCTTTGTGAATTCTTGGTGCTTTACATATGTAGGTTGTTTTAGTGATGCTGGGACTAATGTTTTCATTGTGTCTCATCTTTTCTAAGGACTCTGGAGTCACACTTGTGTTCACATCTGCTTCTAGTCGAAGAAATGCATGTGTTAATCTGAGGCTCTCCTTCACTTAAGAGAGGGTAAGAGTAATAGCTAATCCATCGCATCGTAAGGCTTAAGTGGGATGATAATGTGCATAACAATTATTTTAAATTACTATATTCTGTGTTATGGTCCTTACGTGTTGGGGGGGGGGAGAAGGGTAGTTTGTCCTATTTTAGGTAGTTTGTCTTTATTCAGTGAGCATGGGCATCAAAAATTCTATTATGTCCAGCGTATTAGTAGAGCAAGAACATCTCCCCCCCCCCTTTTGCCTGTGTTTTGGATTGGTTACTTTCAACATGACACTCGCTGACTTTGAAGCATTGTGCAGGAGTGTTGCTTTTGGTCATTACATTTTGTGGATAACCACAACCAAGGCTTTGATCTTTCGTTTCTCAGTAAATTGGTTTTTTAGAGCAAGCTCGACATGCCATTCAGTAATAATGCATGAAGCAGAAGCTTAAATTGGAAGATTAAAAACCCAACATCATTGTTCCCAATTCTTTTATTGAGACAGACTAGACTTCTCTCCTTCATTAAATCTTGGCCACAGTTCCCTGCTTTGGGATTCATGTACCTTGGGTGGACTGGGAGCTAGGGGCATGAAGACTATACAACTGAAGTTGTCAGCTTTGAGCTTGTGACCCTTCTTAGGTTCTTGATAAGCACTTGCCTCTCTTTCTCAGGCTGAGGCTTAGTCAGATTTTTGTGAGTTTAGGAGGATGTTGAGCTGCAAGGTTTGAAATTGGCCAAGGCTTGCCTTGTTGCTTTTCGTGGTGGTTTCCAAAAATTCTCTTCAGAGAGGAGTGCTTGACCTGAGCCCAAGAGTCCACTGCTGCGGCTGAGTGAAATATTTTAAGGACAACGTCTTCTCTTTTCGTCACCATCATCGTGTTTCCTGGACCATTGTGCCTCCTTTGTCTGTCCTGTTCTCCTGCCTGACTCTTGTCACTTTGATGATGCTGGGCTGAGGTGAAGAGTGGTGGGCCTCACGGTCATTCCTGCACTTAGCCTGTCCCTGTCCTCCTCAGATTTTTTGTACATGTGAGGAGCCTTTCTCAGCTGAGTCCAGAGGGGACTCAGCCAGTCCCCTCTCATCGGTCTAAGCAAGGAACTGCATGCAGCTTGTAGGTCGTGTGTGGAGGGTCTGACAGTAAAGCAAGTGGTTTCAAATCTGACTCTAAACTGGAACCAATGGCCTGAGACCAAAGTTGTAGATTCATACCTGATACTGAGTAAATCAGAAGTTTACTGTGTTTCTGTAGACAGAACAAAGTTAATTTTCCTTCAGCATTTCCTAGATACAGCTTTTCCTAGAGTTTGAACCCTTCTCTAACATATACATATTTTTGTATTGAGTATTGCATAATTCTTTGAATTTAAAAAAATACACAGCTAAAATAGACTTGCAGTCAATAAAACTTATGCAATACAGAAGCGAATGGAGTGAAAACTGAAAGTTCTCCTCTCCTCCTCCACTAAGTTAGGTGCACATTTTCCTGAGCCCTCTTTCGCAGATTGTGTGTTTGTAGGCACTGTATGTACTGAGCTGGTATTATTAGATACTATAAAGAAAAGTGAATATATTGCTAGTGTGAGCTACTTGTCTTCAGGATAGCAAATTGCTTTAAACCCACCTCAGCAGCATTTTGTGTTTTTAATATCTAGTGTTTTCTAGGTTCCTCAGTTCAGTGCAGAGATGGTTTATTATCATAGATAAGAAAAAGTTTAGGCTTTGAAAGCTATTTTATTTTTTATTTTATTCTAAATATCTTTTTATTGGTTTCAGAGAGAGGAAGGGAGAGGGAGAGAGAGGTGGAAACATCGATGACAATCAGCTGCCTCCTTCACGTACCCTACTGGGGACTGGGCCTGCAACTGGGCATGTGCCCTGACTGGGAATCGAACCAGTGACATCCTGGTGCATGGGACGCCCAACCAATTGAGTCACACTGGCTGGAGTGAAAGCTGCTTTAATAATAACTGTAGTTTCTACCTTCTTTCTCCTATAGATTCTATACTCTTTTTATATTTTTCTCTTTGCAGATTTCACCCAGAGACTGATTTCCCTATAGAACCACCTGCAGCTGTATCCATGGTCGGGGAGAGATAGTGGAGCAGGCACATGAAAAGCAGCTCTGCCATACCGAGGACAATGAATATGCTGAAGCCAAGTGGGCTGAAGGTCCCTACCAAGATCCTGAAGCCCGGCAGCACAGCCCTGAAGACGCCCGCTGCTGGTAATGCCTTACGTTTTCCTTCAGAGCCAATAAGCTACAGTCCCCTCTGAGGACTCCAATGTGAGGATTTTAAAAAGACCATCTTATAAAACTTCATATTCTTGAAAAATATTTGAAAAGGCTTTAATGAATAGAATATAGCATTTTATGTCTAAAAGTCTGAGTCAGTGAAGAGTTTACCTTGTAGGTTGTCTTTATTTCGTTCAGTTGGTCTCATGTCGGGTGATAAGTAGTTGTCGAGCTAAGTGCCTTCAGCGTTCGACGCTACAGTGATGAGGGACGGGCGCATTCTGCCGGCCTGGAGTCACGGTGGCGGCTGCAGCACGAGCGCCCCCTTCAGTAACCCGAATGCGAGTTTCTGGCTCAACGGTCCTCGTCTGGTCGGCTTTCACTGGCTGCTCAAATGGGGGAACGAAGCCCATCTCGGGATCTGAGGGCATGTTCAGAGTGGGGGTGAAGTAAAGAATGAAATCAGGCCTGTGTTATGAGCTTTGGAAAAGGACCAGTTTTCTTCTTTCGTATTTTACCTTCTTCAAATCTTAATTGCAAGTAAGGATTAAATCTCACCAGCTCCCTGAGGTTCAACAGCACTGAAAGTGATAGCGCTGGATCAAGTAATTTTTGTCTCCTTGTTAAAAAAGAAAGAAGGAAAAGCAGAATTCCTCTGGAGGAGTGGCCGCTCCTGTTGCTTTGGGCTGTCCCTAGTTTATTTCCCTTTAAGTTGGGAGTTACCTGAAATTGAATGTCCTCTGATCCTTTCTTCCGTTTCCAGTTGCAGCTCCAGTAGAAAAAGCAATCTCCAGTGAAAAGGCATCCAGCGCTCCTTCCTCGGAGACGCAGGAGGAATTTGTGGATGACTTTCGAGTCGGGGAGCGAGTTTGGGTGAACGGAAACAAGCCCGGATTTATCCAGTTCCTGGGAGAAACCCAGTTTGCACCGGGCCAGTGGGCCGGGATCGTTTTAGATGAGCCCATCGGCAAGAACGATGGCTCGGTGGCAGGAGTTCGGTATTTCCAGTGTGAACCTCTGAAGGGCATATTCACCCGGCCGTCCAAGCTGGCGAGGAAGGCGCAGGCAGAAGAAGAAGCTAACGGCCTGCAAACGACTCACGCTTCCAGAGTGAGTTCGCCTCTGTCCACTCCTGCAGCCAGCATGACGGGCTCCTCCCCAGCCACCCCCTCAGGTATTCCTCAGAAGTCGTCCCAGCCAACAGCAAAGGACCCTCCAGCTACACCGCCGGCCACCAACCTTACAAAAACGGCCAGTGAATCTATTTCCAACCTTTCAGAGGCTGGCTCCATCAAGAAAGGGGAGAGAGAGCTCAAAATCGGAGACCGAGTACTGGTGAGTCCAGACACCCAAGTCGTGTTGAACTGAGATGTACTGATCACTGATGAGTGGTTGACATACAGGCTCAGAGTTGTTCTGGAGGGGTGACCACTCACCGAGAAATTAATCAGCTCTTCTGGTTGTTCAGTTTATGTGTAAACGTACTACAGATTAGAACCTGGCCATGTAGCTTGAGCATAGTATGAGCATAAGTTTGCCGTCATCGACTCTGGTTTAATCTCCCAGTTTAGCCAAAAGAATATTGAATTCATAACTTAGTAACTTTACTTGAGAAAACAAGCTCAGAAGTGGACTTAGATTTCTTTACAAAAGTTTTAAAAACACATATTTTTCTTTTGCTTTAAGGACACACAAGAATTTCTTTTTTCCCACTAAAGTGAGAAAAAATTAAAGTACTAGTCAGGTAGTGTGCTGTTTGGCTGCTAAAACAGAGAAATGACAAGGTCAAGTTGGTCTGACTCATAACCAGAGGTCTCCATGAGAATGTCAGGAATAAAGTGGCCTGGAAGAAGAGTAGGAATAGCCAGGCAGAAGGAAGTGTGGGAGGTGAGAGAGAACGTTCTAGCAGAGGAAAGGGCAAACTCCCGTGATGAGAAGGGGTTAGTGTGTTGGAGGAAGAGGCCAGGTTCTTCTCCCAGCTGCACCTGGTAGGAGATGAGCCTCGTTTACTAGGTGGGGTCTGCAGGGACTGGTGGTGACACAGGGCCTAGGAAGATAGGTCGTATGAAGGATTTTGGTTTCGTCCTTGGGAGCAGGGAGAGTGACGAGCAATGTGATTGGGTCTGTAGTTTGGAAAGGTCACTCTGGCTGCTCTGTAAATGTAGAAGTGGACGAGAATAGATTTGGGGCGACTACCCCTTGAAGTTGGATGTTGAGAAGAGGGTGGTCAGGCTGATGCTGGAAGAGTGTTGAGTCTAGGGAAGGTTGTGTTTATTTTTTAGTTTTTTTAAAGGTGGCAGAGGTCCAGAGTGTTAAATATCCTGACTGAAATGGTCTAGAGGAACAGTATGGAGATACAGTAGTGGCAGTGGGCCAGTGATGGAATGAGCTTCCTGGGGGGGGTGGGAAGAGGGGGGCACCCTGGGCACACACAGGGCTTGACTGGCCTGTGATTGAGAGGGAGACTTGCTCCATGTTTATGGGAAGGAGGAGACTGCAGGTGCGGGTTGGTTTGGAGAGGTTCACGTGGCATATTTCTAGGGAAATTTTAATTACATGGTCAGAACCAGCATGAGTCTTATTCAGATTCATACAGGATTTTATTTGAATCGATGACAGTCTGAAGTCTTATGAGTGTGTTATTGAAGGTGATAGAGTTATTTACTGCCTTTGGTTAGTATTCCTAGGAGAAATTACAGGAGCATCTCAGAATGACAGTATGTTAGAACTGGAAAGGACATTTTGAGACCATCAAAGGCCTCCTTTTGCCTGTAACACTGAAGCCTAGAGAAGAAAGGTGACTCGCCTTCAGGTCACACGGCTGTGTGATGTATGTCCTCATTTATCCCCAGCGCCTATGTTTTTTATACTTTAACACGCACTCTGTTTAATAGAAATCTTTCATTTAGAATTATAAAACATTCATACTTTAAAGTTAATTTATTAAGGAAATTAGATTCAGAAATCTAAAATATTTGATTTGGAATTTTCCTAATTAAAGAAAAATTCTGTTCATTACCAAAATCCCAATGGAACTAAGATGATTAGGTCATTGTTATGTGATAATAGGTGTAGAATTTTCCCAGTCCCACCCCTGGCGCCCACATGGTTCATGCCCCGTGGAGGGCAGGGGTGAGCCTGCCTTCCCCATACAGCTTGCCTGTGTAACTTCAGTCTTCCTCTCATTCAGTCTTCATGCAGGAAAGGGGACTTCTGCATTAGGTATGATGTTTAGCCTGATGATATCTGTAAGATCCAACGATAGGAGCTCCTGAGATGTGACTAGCAGGCGTTCCGGTCTTGAGGAAGGTGGTCAGGGCTCGGGAAAGATCCCCCTTGTCACCTCCCTCCATATGCTCTTAGTCCTCGGTGGGGTTCCTGAGTGCAGAGAGTTGTGCTGGCTTTGGTAATATCTAGAGACTTGAGGAGGGTGAGGCAGAGCTGCTTATAACAAACCCACCCGTGCCCTTCCCATCTCTCTCCGGTCTCTCTGTTTTTCCACTGGTCCTCATGCTTCGACTCTGAGACATCCCTCCTTCCAGACTGAGACTCCCTGGGGTAACTGCCCTGAGTATTTCTGAGTTGGTCTTGCTGCGTTTTCGGGGTATATAGGGTGTTTCAAGGATGTAATGTCAGGTTCTTGAGAAACGTGACTAACTCCCAACTGTTGTGTTTCAACATGGCTGTCTCCATGTCCGGGACTGTATGTTCTACGCTGGATTCTCTGCTTATGACTATATGTGAGAAGGAGATTTCAGACTTTTTTTTTAAGTGACAAGCTTTATCTTTCTATGGGCTGCTCCCGAGGCTCTTACACTAAGAATCTTATAGTTAAATCTGTAGGTGTTTCAGATACTGTGAAAAGGGGAAACAAATCTGAGGATTAAAAAATATATTTATAAGATTTATTCTGCTTGTGTTTGAACCTTAAGTAACTTGCAGTTCATCTGGTATGTCCTTTTCTGTGTGTCTTTCTTAATTAGTTCAACATTGTGTCTGAGATTTCTCTCTATAACATGACATTTAAAACACACTTAGTGGGGTCATATTATACACACACCATTTCACAATGCACTTCGGTAGACTTGCTGCTCTGACATGCATGCATTACCGTCCCTCTCTTTTTTTTTTTTTTTTAAATATATCTTTATTGATTGCAGAGAGAGGAAAGGAGAGGGAGAGAGAGATAGAAACATCAGATGAGAGTCATTGATCGAGCCCACAACCTGGGCATGTGCCCTGACCAGGAATCGAACCCCGATCGCCTGGATCCTAGGTCAATGCTCAACCACTGAGCCACGCCCAGCCGGGCCGTCCCTCTCTTATTTTAAGCTAAACATATTTAACTGGTATCTGTTTCATTTTTAAATACCTTTATGGAGGTATAATTTATGCACTCATTGTAACTATATAATTCAATGACTTTTAATAAATATATAGAGTTATGCAGTCAGTTTTAGAATATTTCTGTCACCCCCCCTCCCCAATGTTCCTCATGACAGTTTGCAAGTCATTTTCCACTCCCACCTCTAGCCCCGGGCAATCACTGATCTGCCCGCCGTCTTTTCATGGACATTTCCTGTAAATGCCAGTGTATAACATGTAATTTTTAAATGTCTGGCTGTTGCTTTCACTTAGCATATGCTTTAAGGTTCCCCATGTAGTTCATTGCTTTTTATGAGGGAATATATTCCATTTTATGTGTATGCCACATCTTACTTATCTATTCAACTATTTATTTAGTTTTAATTTTTAAAAAATTTAAAGAATTTGTGCTCATAGTTTAGAATGTCCAATTTTGGGTGCTTATATTAAAAAAGAGTTCTATGCCCATTCTCTAAGGTAACAAGTTAACCTGTCCTCTTCCCCTCCCCCCCT